ATATATCTTATGCATTAAAATTATGGTTAGAAGTATCTTATAACTATTTAAGTAAAGCATGAAAATAAAACCAAGGTTAAATAAAATTATATTAAAATGTTCTAGAGAGGACGCAAATCAGAGTTGTCAAATATTGAGTGATAGTAAGGGTCTATGGTATCTGAAGAAAAAACATTTGATATAATGGGAATTAGACAAGTTTGTTGCAATGTCAGACAAAAAAAATTAATACGAAAAACAGTCAGACTGACGAAACCTACCAAAAAAGTATTCAGAATCTGCGCTCCGATTGACCGGATGTTTTATACCAGAGTATTTAGAGATAGTGGAGAGATCAATGATTTCTGACTTGTAGATACACGCAGCCGCTAAGCCACGCTCATATGAACTCTTGTTGATAACCATGGCATCTTCCATATCATATCCCTGTAAAATTCAAAAGTTAGAAGTCAATATAAACAAACAGAATTAACCAGGGAGGCTAAACTTTTTTATAGTGTCGGTTCGACCTTGTTTTCGCAAATTGGTCGGAGTCAAGATCTTATGGAACTTTCCTAGTCACATGTCCTCTGCCAAAGTATTCGTGAGTTCTAGCATTCCCAAACGTTGCATCGTCATCGTCAGTGAGAGGTGCCATCGTAAATACAGAGTTAAAAAATATCAAGGTGAAAGTGAAGGAAATCCCCTTGACCAATTTCTTGTTCAACCGTTCTGGCATCACTACTCGCCCATATTTTTTGTTCTATCTTCTAGTGCCGCATCTCTTTCTCTCAACCCCACTTCGTATGGCCCATCCACATAGTCACACAATTCTGTGCTCTCGTTTCCTACAATGTCACCTAAGAGTGTGTCGCTACAAATGGGTTTAGTGAACCGCAATCATTCCCACCACCAGTACCAGACGTCGTTTGCAGGGCCCCTGATCTACATTCGCCCCAGCTTTTATTCCAAACCGCTTGTCAATTGTTGCTGTTAAACATCATAATCACTGCAGATATGAGAACCAAGAGGGTACAGTCTTCTGTGTAATCGCAATCTCCTTTAGCTTTACACTCCGTCCAAGTTGCTAAAACAGGATCAAAATCAATGTTTGGCTGTCGGAAATTTGGCTGCCAAAGAGCCTTCCATTCCCGTCCTCA